CATGTATTTCTAGCTGGGGTATTGGTTGTAAAGAAGAATGCCAGTGCATGAACGGTGGAATATGTGATCGATTTACCGGGAATTGTGATTGTCCAGCAGGATTTATGGGACCACATTGCGAAGAAGGTGAATCGTTCATTTCGCTTAAAGCACATAATGCTTATGCAAATCAAATCAAAATATCCTTTCTCATAATTATTATTGTCCAAAGATTAAAAAGTTCTGTTTTGTTAACAGAATGTCCGCCCGACCATTATGGACCCAACTGTAATAGCCATTGTCTTTGTATGCACAATGGCACTTGCGATCCTAAGAATGGTACCTGTAAATGTGTAATTGGATGGACAGGACCTGCATGTGAATTCAGTAAGTTTTCTGCCCAGATATCATTCAATTTTAACAAAAAGCTGGAATTTATAATCTCTAAACCAGTCTTCAATTTTTTCATTTCGAGAAATTTTATTTATTTCTGTCGCAAATCTTCGAATAAACACTATAATCATTACTCAATCACATTAAAATATTACAAATTTATTCTAATTTTCATACTTTGTTTCTAATCTTCCATCCTTTCCTTTAGGACCACTTTTTTGAAGTGCTTATCTTTTTACGTTAAGATTATCTTCTGATGTGAAGACCGCTCTGTCCACTATGCAAAGTATACCTCACATATCATTTCATATTATCTGTTTTCAGTGTGTCCTTTTGAACGATATGGTATAAATTGTGAGCAAGTCTGTAATTGTATGCGAGGTGGACGTTGCAATCGTACGGATGGTACTTGTCAGTGCTTACCCGGTTCTATTGGTGAAAGGTATATGGTACCATATTTTTGGTTCAGTTCCATTTTGTTAACATAGTTTCAAAAAACAATGATTGTTTGAACAGAACTATTTAAATTTTGTCATCCTGCAACCAGAGGTCTCGATAGGCAAACTTTCGTACTTCATAAAATTTAACATCACCCAAATACCTTCCATAGTATCAAGTTTTGAAACTAAATTTAGATGCGAGCGCATTTGTCCTCATGGTTTGTTTGGTGAAAATTGCGAAGAATTGTGCTTATGCGAAAATGGTGCAAGTTGTGATCCAATCAGTGGTCATTGTCACTGTGCTCCTGGTTGGCGAGGTCGCAAATGCAATCGACGTAAATAAATTTGCTTTGGAATATTTTAGATTCTTTTCTTGAAAAACTGAGGGTCCCAAATATAATGACTGTACAACGATAGCTGTCAAGAATTCCGGTGGTGAAAAGAATCGATTCTAAAGTGAAATTTAACTCTCGAGGGTTAGGTGAAGTTATACGCAATAGCATTTTTCAGCATGCCTTAAGGGCTATTATGGACAGCATTGTGCCTCAGCATGTCGATGTCCAAATCAAAAGCCATGCAATCATATCACCGGTCGCTGTCATTGTCCCAACGGCTACACCGGTCATTTCTGCACCGAACTTTGTCCTCTCGGAACATTCGGCGAAAATTGTGCACAGCAGTGTGAATGTGCACCTAATGCCAACTGTGATCCTATTACCGGGAAATGCTTTTGTAAACCGGGATATGCTGGTGTGGATTGTGCCCAAGATAAGTTCCACAGTTCCTTCTATTTTCTTTAATCTATTCGGAGAGCGCTGCAGTAGCGTGACGATTGTCCTTTGAAATTTTATAACGGTTAATTTTACACATCCTTCTTCATCTACAGTATATTCTTGTCAAATTCTAAATTATTTATTCCATGAGAATAAACTTTTTCCACTTTATAACAATTGGAAATCAATTTACTGCAGGTATCACATATGATGATATCAATATAAACAAAAGTGTTATGAGTTCAGTATATTATTCACTTAATTCACATTTATCCACTACCTATAATTCTAATTTAGGATGTATCCAAGGACGATATGGCATGAATTGCGATGGCATTTGTCAATGTGTAAACGGTGGTACTTGTGATAAGGCAACTGGACAGTGTATTTGTCCACCAGGTTTTGTTGGTACCAAGTGTGAAGTGAATTGTCCCTCGAATCGGTTCGGTGAAAATTGTGAAAGACTTTGCCAGTGTGAGAATGGGGGTAATTGTGATCGAATAACGGGCCAATGTCGTTGTGCCGCTGGTTTTACCGGCTTACAATGTCAACAGGTATGCTCCGAGGGACGTTTCGGACCTGGATGTCGCGAAAAATGCCGGTGTGCTAACCAGGCGCATTGTGACCCAGTAACTGGCGCTTGCAAGTAGGTATACTGTTGCTGTTAATTTCAATGCGATAATACCATTTCACTCTTGAATTCTTATGTTATGTACAGAATGTTGCAGTATCCTTTTTAATGGGTAAACTGTTATTACAAATTGAATTCGGTTGTCTTTTTGATTTTTAATAGCAATCCCTTTTTTCCGAAACAACAAGAATAATCAGTTATTGCAGATGTTCACTGGGATACACCGGTGCAACCTGTGATCAACCTTGTCCGGATGGCAAATATGGGCCGAATTGTACGTTAGACTGCGAATGTCACGGTAATGCTAAATGTGATCCTGTACAAGGTTGTTGCGATTGTCCTTCAGGTCGTTATGGTACTCGCTGTCAATATAGTATGTCTTTTCATGCTTTTATTTTATTGCATTGGAATTAATATTCAAAGTAAAAGGAAAATATTCCTGTAATCTAGAATTATGATGGACAGCGAATGATAGTACAAAAAGCCTTTTATTCTGAATTTGTTAAATTTATAAATCATTTTCAACTTTGGAATAATGTACTAGACAATGAGTTAGAAAAGTTCAATTCTTGAAATAATATTTCCAGCCTTAGATACATGTCTTCCATCGACTGGTAATTGAAAAATTGTCATGTTGAAAATTTGTAGCATGTCCAGCTGGTTTCTATGGTTGGTATTGTAGTCAAAGCTGTGATTGTCAAAATGGCGCAACATGCAATCCAAGTGATGGTCAGTGTCAATGCCGTTCAGGATACTTTGGCAAACAGGTATTATCCTATTTTTGTTGTAGTTTTTTAAATTTCTTTTGACCAATCTTTCAACAATGCTTTTAGTCATAGTACCTAAAAGACTGATTGAAAGCGGAAGTTGCTACTTCTCTGGTTAGAGAAATAAAACTGTGGGAAATATGTAAATTTTATGCATTTCCTTCTTTCTATCCTTGCGACATAAATGGCAATTATTTATGGTGGGATTTAACATATAATTCACTTGCAACATATAATTCACTGTAACCAAAGTATTTCATTTTTAATTTTGTTAGTGTGAACGTTCCTGTACCAACAATACCTACGGTCCACATTGTCAACTGCATTGCGATTGTGGGGAATTTCAATGCGACCCAGAAACCGGAAAATGCGACTGTCCTCTAGGGTTGCATGGTGCTAAATGTAAACAAGGTATATTTTGCTCAAGAAATTATGATACACTGTTTTGCTGATTCTAAGAACATAGTCTAATGAATTCAGTCCTGAGCTGAAAGACTGATGACTTGTATCCAGACCCGATCAATGCTAAAAGCCAGATAGCTCAAAGAAAATTGTTGATAGACTTATCTTACACTGAATTGCATAATAACTCTTTCACTTTTCCTTAAAGGGAAGGTCAGAAGGTCAAGTAATACCTGAAAACGGTCTCTACTTTTCTAGCATGTCGACCAGGACGTTACGGGAAAAATTGTGAATATCGATGTGAGTGTTACAATGGTGCAATATGTGATCGAATTACCGGTCAATGTACTTGTGCTCCGGGATATCTTGGTGCAACTTGTCAACAAGAACAGTTTGGTATGCACACATGTTTGTTTACAAATTTCCAATAAACGTTACACAAAAATTTCCAAATAGTAAATTTTTAAAATTTTTATTCAAGAAAAATCGAATTTATTACATCTTTCCCAATTTTTAGACATGGAAAGTGTTGCAAAACGTGGTGATCTACCGGAGTATGACTTCCGCAAGAAGCGGTAGTACCGTTTTTTCATGCAATTTAGGAATGCACATATTTTATAAAACTGCCCAACCGAGTGTTATAGCATTATAATTTCCGTTATTCACTATTGAAAGCTTGATTATTGGAAGCAATTTGGAAATAATCATAGATTTATCAAATATATTCTGTAATCGTATACTTAATTGGTCGAAATAATTTTCATAATTTATCATGTTTATACAAACGTAGCAGGAAAAGAGCCTTCCTTCTCACATGAGTAATACCAATCTGATACAAAAAAAAAAAAAAAAAAGAAGAATCCGAAATCGATCTTTCAATTATTTCTTGATGGAATTAATCGAAAATGAATCTATGTTTCTTCCCTTTTAATGCTTCATTATAATGTTATCTCACTGTATATCAGCTAATATTTATCCCATATTATCATTGAACTAGCTGTCAAATCCCTAATGTTTTTTCCTCAATATGAGTAAATTGCCAAATAAATAAAAAAAAAATGTTCCATCTCCCCCATCTCTTTGTTGGTGGTTGCATTTGGAAAACCTTTAAAAGTAAGTGAAACAGATGAATAATATTGTTCCCTCAACTTGTACATCATTCTAATTGCATGAGAATGTCACTATCACTTCGATTCTGAAGATTCCATGATGATGATTTGGAAGATGTTGTGTGCATTCCAAAAGATACAAGATACAAGATGCAGCGGTAAGAGACAATTACTAAGTGTTCAGCTTACAATTAACCTGAGTATCCAGTAATGAATCTCAGAAAGGCTTATTTACAATCAAAGAAAGCCAAATTATTTTGCCGGTAATCTCGAAGACAATGTCATTTGGAACTGTTGGTTTAAATATGATTGATGTTCTCGTGTCAGGTGGTGAATTAACAAGAATAGGTTGTGAAATCAAAGGATTGGTACTGTTTTAAGCTGATTCCATCAAGAAAAGATGGAAGGAAGCATATCTGAGTTAAGCTAACTGGAATAATACTTGTTATTGTCTCACTCATGATAGTTTTGAAGTTTTCCATCCAACTTTTCAAATCTGAATAGCAGCAGTATTTTAAGCTCATAAATCTTCGTTCTCTCCAATTTCGTATGCATAAGATAGGATGAGATATTAATACCTGTTACCTGTAACAGTCTAAGCAAAGAAGATAAATTAAATTTAGGTATAAAACTTGAAACATATCTTGATGTTTATCGAAGAGCACTATCAGTTTTTACCTCATTTCATGTTAATTTCCAAACTACCATTAGTCCTCTTCCGCTTCAATCCTATTTTCAGAACTATTGTCCTAATCATTTGTCACAAAGTTTCAAAACTCTTTTAGCGGACATAAATCATCCATCACTTTTAATGTAAAATTCTCCGGAACATTTTAGAGATGAATCTATCATGAAACGTTGATGAATCTATCATAAAACATCTTCTAGATGAATCTATCATAAAACATCTAGATGAATCTATCATGAAACATCTTGTAGATGAATCAATGAGCAACACGGTCAGCATCAATAATCATTTCCTGCTACTGTTATTTCCCGAATACTGTATCTCACTACTCCTGTTTGACTGGAAATTTTATAACACTATCTGGAAATATTTCCTGCATATTTAAGGATAAGCTATTGCTTCTGTAACAAAGGAAAACCATAAAATTACCAGAAATCGTTACTATCATTTGTCTAAATGCTAACTTTCCAGAATGTAAATAAGCGACACGGATGATACATTTGATTTGATATTTGCAAAAGTGGTACAAAACATAATTTAAAAAAACATAATTTGTAGTGATATGTTCAGATTTTTGTGTTCATTTCTTCTTCTTAATTTGTCACAAAGCATAATTGACTGTAAAAATGTTAAGAGAGGACAGTGGCTGTGACATTATCAGGAACATGTCAATAAGAGTTCCAAGAACTAAACGTATATATCAGGTGTATCATTATTCGATTTAAAAAATAGGATTAGAATCTAAGGATAAAATGATAAATCTCATCCAGCACAACACTATCATTAATTTATTCAAATCTTATCTTTCTTTCTCCATGTATTCTCTAATCTTTTTGTAGTTTTGCGACAGAGATTACACTTAAATTTGGTGAAATTTTAATGAAATTAATGAGAATTTCAAATTTACTCTCGTAAACCTTGGAAAAAGGACCTCTTCTACTTATATTTCTATTGAAAGTTCTAATGAGGGAGTATAGGCAATAATAATTGCATGCCATATCCATATATGATAGTTTGTTGGATTTTTTCAAATCGTTGAAGAAATGATTGATAAATTTTAAGCCAAAACCTTAATATTAAGCCATAACCTTGATATTCCTAATTAAAAAAAAAAAAGAATGTTGGATCATTGGTGGATGAATAATTAATTAACTAGCTGCAACACTGTTTTCAGGACTTTTTATGTCCATTGCTATCAGGCAAATACATCAAATTTAAATCAATTTATCTGTCTGTTGCATTTTTGAGAATAATGCTAATTAATCATTCAGTAAATCTGTGGTAAAGCTTTCAAATAAATTTTTATTGTTTATTTTGTTACTGTTTTTTTTTGATTAACCTTACTACCATGATCTTGGTAGTAAGGTTTATCGTCTCCATTCATCTCATTTTAAAACAACTCTCTAAGCTGCCAACATTCCAAAGACTTTATTAAAAAATTTAGAAGAATTTAAAAGTAAATAGGTTTTCCATTAAAGACGAAAGATCATCCACATGACCACCTCAAAGTTTGACGAAAAAGATCATCTACATGACCACTTCAAAGCCTGACGAAAAACACCAACTACATGACCACCTCAAAGTCTGGTTTTGTCGCACTTGGAAATCTGTTAAAAAATTATGCATTTTTACATATATGAATGGATTGGTTCATAACAAACTCTGAAAACGTAACGATCGTATAATTAAGGCTCAATTATCCCGAGGATATTGGCTCAATTTTCCCTGAGACGATGAAGAATAACAATCATCCTTTCTCAATTCTTCCTGAGACGATGAAGAATAATCATCGTCAAAATCGTCGTACGGTCCTAAAGGTACTCTAACTTCACAGTTTGAATTTGTTGCTTGCAGATTTCATTGGCCAAAACTGATCGTGGAAATACTAATAAAATATTTAGGAAGGTGATGGCTTTCGAAACTAGACCACTGCAAGCCTAGATTCTACATTTCCGTCTAATCTGTTCTTAAATTTTTCATGTCTAGATTTTTGCCACTTTTTATCTCTAAACCCATCTCTAAACTCGATAATATTCCATTTAGGAATAAAAAAGTTCAAGCACTTCCAATCAATAATTTTGCTTGAATTTCTACATAGCATTTCCGTCAGTCAGGAATTTTTAATTTGAATTGAAATTTTTAATTTAAACTTTTGAAATTTTAAATACATTCTTTACGTGGCAGCAAAACTTCCCGCGGCATTGACTCTATACTTCCCTTAAAGTCACTGTTCGAAAATTGGTTTCCGTATAAAAATTATTGACTAGAAAAAGCGATCTCCGAAATTATACAATTGAACTGATTATTCAGCACAAAGTGATCCCCAGAAATATGACTAGCTGAGCTAATTAGTTAACTAAGGGAACCAAATAGAACTTGTAATGTCTTCAGTAGAAATACTGAACAACTGGGAAAATACTACCTTCGGTATTCAAAGTTCTTCAGTATCCAGTAAAATTTGATCTATTACAAGTAACTGATCGAAATTCAATTTACCTTAAAATCGGAGTACAGCGGTATAGGTCCCCGAAAGATTTATGGCTAACTTCCCTGTATAACTAATTGAACCTCTATTTTAAACACTAAGAAATCCAACAATTGTCTCATTCGTTAGTAGGCATTATCAATCTAGTGAACCTAACATTGAGGAAAATGGAGGTCTAAAAATGATTGGTGCAAATGATGAGAGAGATTCGATGAAAAAATATTTTAATGTGAGACATTAAATGTCATAGTTGTCAACAGAGTTGCACAAAACAATGTAGCAATATATGTACATATCACATGAATGCGAACTAATAGTTACCGCGGTATTTTAGGATTATATTTCATTGACAGATGAAACTGAATATTTGTTCAGATTTGTGATGATACCTATTTGTGGCAGCAAACGATCAGCTGAGGACAAAAACTGCGGTGTACAAATCTAAAATTCTTTTTTTTTTTTTTGTAATGATGCATTAAAAGAATTATATGTAATGATGGCTATCCATCAGCCCTATGAAAGAGCAAATTTAGAAAATTTAACACTGTCATTAATACATCTTTCATAATTTTGATTTCATTTTGAATTTACCATTTGATCTTGCCGCAAATCAATTGTCGTTTCATCCAAATCATAGCTTTCACTACCGATTACTGATGAATCCAATGTTAAAGCAATCACAATTATACCTAAAATTTCCCATTTAATTATGAATTTACTCTTATCTTTTCATAATCCTCATAAAAAAGCAAATATTATGGAAAAGATCTCCCAATGCTGCATTTGTAAATTACGGATCGAAAAAAATGTCAACTTTTCCAATCAATCAACAACCACTGTATACTACATGTGTACAATGATGTCATTATGTTAACATCGTCATGGCTAGGCTGAGGACGAAGATATGGGAAGAATTCAGCCCAGCTTGCTGCAAGGGGGCTTATAGCTAAAAAGGACAATGATCCGGTTGCAAAAAGGATAACGAAAAGTTTTTCGCTATCCTTTTGCTGAGCACGGTCTTTTCGCCTTTGCATGTGTCCTCAAAGGAAGCAGCAGAGTTATGAGAGGTATTTTCCTATGTCTCCCAATTGAAGGCCAATTGATGATAGTTTACATGGCCAAAAATGATATCTTTAAGACTCGTCTTTTGTGGAAGCCAATGACTAGTTCATCATTTTGCAGAAGGCGATGATCTTTCATTCTGGAGACACGCATTTGCATCCTCAGTAGCATGGCCTCAATAATGGTGACAGCTGCTTATTCAAGAACACTAACATTATTCATTAGTCAGTCCATTATACAAAAGTAATGCTTGTGGAAACATACAAAAAAACATAAATGGTATCGATAGATAAAGCATTTATTCTAATTTATATAAAAGATTTAACAATACAATAGAATAGCTTTCCGTTAATGTAATTACCTTATAAATTATTATTCTGAAAAGTGGCAATTACTAACCCGTAATAAGCAAGGCGATACTGAGCAGTGAAATAATTAGTACCACGATTACGTTGAAAGTGACATTTACATTTGTTTCCCAGTTAGATGTCGAGTGATCTGACATAAGCAATATACGGACTACTTCATCTGTATCTAAAAATATCACACATCAATTGTTTGTTTGTTTTTTTTTCTGATTTTGAAATCTTAGTGAAATATGATGATTTCTCTAATATCTCTCTTCTAAAATTATCATTATTATCCGGTTATTGATCAAATAATTTACGATCAAAACTTCTAATTTTTAGCATAAAAATTAAACATTATGAAAACCTGTCGTTGGATCACTATGTGAAATGACATGTTGACGTATGTTCAAGTATTTATATGCGACAATAAGTAACAAGCAAAGAAGGATCGCTAGTGCAAATCGCACTAAAAGACGCATACAATCGACCTCATACAGTAGGCAGCAATATTGAGTCGTTGCTTTTTTTTTTTTCCACCCAACAATACTCCCTTTTCTGAATTTTAAGGCCCGTTTGTTGGGCTCTAAGGAGTACAATCAAATAACTGTAACAATTTAAGTTACATCACGTAATATGATGTAAGTTACACGTTTACACGTATTGATTACATCAATGGATACAAGTGTACAACGTCTTTCAGTTTACGATCATAGCTACTTTCAAAATGATCTTTCCATATGTTTGAATTCAATTGACGGAAATATCGCTACTTACAAAATTGTTAAATTAACAATGATAGTATAACACAATGATATTAGTCTAAGCCATATTTTCCATTTATTTGGTCAACGATAATTGTTATCGAAAAAGAGAATATAAAACTAAACTGAAAGTAATAAGTAATGATTTATGGTCAATCTCTTTTACAAAAACTACAAACTCAATGACTGTCAATGTTGCCGTTTATTGTCACATAACAGTGATCGAGAACAAGAAATATGTATTGAAATATTTTAGCACAATTGGAAAATGTCATAAAAGGGATGAAGGTATTGGTGTGGTATTCGATGATATTGATTTAAGGGAAAAGAGAGATGGATAGACTTCCAAATTAATACCAATCAAATAGGATTAGTGATAGGATGAATTCTAGTTTATCATTGTTCATTAAGTAATGATGTCATGTGATACTTTAATCAGGAACCTGGCAATGCAAAGAGGAATGATAGGAATTATAACAAAATAAACGAAAGAGAAACAAAAAAGAGGCAAAAAGAATGAAGAAGAAAAGATTGTTAGTAAAATGATACGATCGATGTATTGTTTGCGCAGACTTTTGGATCGAAGAATTCTCGATCGTTTTCTCGATGTAAACTAACCTATAGAAGCGGGAAAAAAAATTATCACATCCACTATATAAATATAATGATGAAAAAAATGTAAAGAATAAAAAAAAAGAAAACTAGTCTAATTTAACAATTTCAGGATCTTTAACTGAAATTAGAGCAAATAGAATTCCCAAATTCGGGCAACATTTGACCTGGAAAGTCTTCATGTTATAATCTTATAGCGCTTGCACGTCTTGCAATAATAATGGTGCTGTTAAATCGAATTGACACGAAGAATGTTGATAATGGTGACACTGATAAGATTGTGATAAAAAGTAGCGAATATGGTTACGTCAAGATTTTTTAATCAAATTTGTCAACATAAAGTAAGAAAAACCATCATAATAAACAACTCAAATAACGTGATTAGCTTCTTTTATTTGATGTTTTTTCACTGTATACACATAGCGATGTATGATGAAGAAAATGGAGGAGGAGGAGGAAGAGAAAGGGACTAGTTGACTGATTTTTAAAATTACTATTCAATTTTAAATTTCATATGGATGAAAATTGCTATGAATATATTTTTGAAGCCTTCAAAAGTTTCCCTATTCTTAGATCAACATTTATAACTTATTTACGGAAGGATTCGGCTATGTAATAGATAATAAAACGTGGCTTTAATTATCACGAAGGAAGTTTTTCCTTTTTTTTAGAGCATAAAGATGTCGAAGAATAGGCGAGGAGAGAAGACGAGAGGACAGATAAGAGCTGTCATGAAATGTTGAAACGTTCTCCTCCTCTCAAAGTAAAACTGGATTTCCAATGATTGAAATTAAGGCAAGGGATTGCCAAATAAGAATGGGAATTGCAAATAGGGTAGAAATGAAATCGACAAAAATGAAACAAACGAATTAAGGAGGTGTGATGACGACAAATGAGCCAATTCAGGTAAATAAGTCATTTCAAAATAATTACCAATAAATTTATGAAGCATTAAATCGAAAACTCATAAAGCGCATAATTTCCAAATTTCATCATGGCAATAAATGTCAACTGAGCTTTAAAAGAAGACAAAGATTAAAATAATGGATGTATCAAATTTCAGAATTAAGCTAAATAATTCGGGCTTACGAAAGCTCAGAAATGATTAGCCTAACAACCGGACCAAATAAAGAAGAAAGAGAGGAAAAAAAAGACTTGAATAGTTTGCAATTGGGATTGGGTGTGAATATTATGCTACCATAAAATGTGTACATATTATAATAAAAGGACAACTAGACTGAACCCCAGTTGGATAAATTAACTGGAATAATTCTCAGAGTAATTGATTGTGAAGAATGTATTTTCCAAGGAGTAGAAAGAGAAAAAGAAAAATTGCCAAAGATTTTTAAGAGACGAAAAAATATTTGTAGTAATCAACAAATTATAATAGGATTAAAAAAAGTTTTAAATAAGGAGATATATATGCATGGATAGGTTAAAGATTTATTAGCATCTTTATGGATTAATATCATATCAGGGCTGGCAAGCATTTATCAGAAAATGAAAAGTATTGAAATAAGTGCATAGTAAATTAAAAGGATAGCTAAACTATGACTTTTTCATTTGAAAGGGTAATGATAACGTCACCTGAATAGCTATGGTAACAAAATTGAATCAACTGGAAAGAGTCAGGAAATGTTCCAAGAACAATTTCAAATACATTACTACCCCTCATATATTGAAGGAAACTGAATATGGTTATAAAAGTAATAATGTTGGACAGCTAATGATGTCATTGTGTTAATTTAAGAGTGATCTGATCATTGCTGCAAGAGGTTGAAATATTCAATTAAAACATTTTAAAAGAAAAATATATGATGAGATATTATTTAATAGGTTAATGGTACCTAGGTGATTTCATTAAAATTGATTTAACAGGAATTAGACTGGATACTGATCCGGTAAACCAAGTGAAATTACCTCATACCGAATGATAGCAGTGATGTTGATCGACTATATTCATCTCGAAAATCATTGAAAAAGTTTTTTCTAGGAGTAAAGCAGACTACCAAAGTGAAGAAGAGATTGTTAAATGATGTTATTAGCTAAAGTAAATTTTGCAAGAAAGTTCAACTTAAAACAACGAGAAAAGTATTGGGCAAATAGAAGAAGATATTGATTAATCAACTGACAAAGTTCAACTAGTGATAAAATTGATTCATCATAGCTAACGTATGAAAAAGAAAATTAAAGGATTGATATTAGTATATGAGTTATCCAATGTGTGCAAATTATGTCAAAATTAAAAACAGTAAAACTATGTATTGATAGGAAATGTTGCACTAATGTCACCAGTATGATGACACAACATGATCATTGTAACAAACCGGAAAAAGTACGAGATACTGTTGTGAAAAACAGTTTGAAAGTACAATTCAACTGATCGATACTGTCATAACAAGAAGAATCAAAGGATTCGTAATGATCACTAAATAATACAGTAGAATTTAATAATTGATATCTAGTAGTTTTGAGGAAGGATAAAAATGGTAGTCTCATTGCTATCTTATATGAGGTGATATAATATGAAAGGTTTAGAAAAATGTCGAATAATGGATAAAATGGCACCAAACCATTGCATAGGACATTTGTATATGACATACTTCATTAACTTCTGATACATTCTGAGCAAGAGGATTCGAGAAGGAATGTTTGAAAATTCTCGGAAGATCTGATAAATTGTACAAGTATGAATCTGAAACAATTGAAGGTACTCATTTCAAAAGTATAACAAGAAGTAACAAAGTTCCTGAAATGTATCAATCAAACCAATTGCAGCATATCATACAGCAAGTTGCATAATAGATCCACAATGAAAGATTTAAAGAAGGATGGTTTTATTTCTTATTTTTTAAATTTAAATAAAATAAGTAAGAAAATCAGCATTGATTCATATTGGAAGAAAAAGGAAAGGAACATAAAATTAAACCTTTTGAATTTTTCAAGAACAAATCGACGAATTGTGAGAAATTCTGAAAGAAAATTGAGAAATAAAAAAAAAAGAATAAATTGTAAAGACTATGTTTGCTTACAAAGTTCTGAAATTTTTCAAAAAAAAAAATTAAAAGTAAAAATTTTAAATGAAAATTTTGAAGAAATTATCTTTAAGAATTTAGCATATTTGAAAACGAGTACCAATAACTAAAGCAACATTTCCCAATACTGCGGTCTGATGAGTGATGAAAACTGGTATACGAGCCAATTTGTTTGGACCAGTAGTCCAACGATATCAAAGAATAAAATGTCCTAAGAGTCTAAAAGTACAGCAAACGATGAATATTGATGAATGTGATGAATATCAACGTGTGAAGTTTCTTTTTTCTCGGTTCACACTGCTCGTACGTCACGTCTTTTCGACTTACGTGTTTTCCTACTGATCTCATTCATTAGTTTTTGCAGAATAGTTGCATGATTAGAGTGAAATTTAGTAGTGATTTCAAAAGGATTTATAAAAAATTTTCAAAAGTAATTTATAGAGTGAGAACAAAAAACAAAAATCTAACTTTCATTTTTGAGGTTAAAAGTCTTCTAGCACATATATTGGGATATTAAAATTAAGCATTTGAAAAATTCACTTATCCTCAAATTCAATTCAGTGTAAAAATTCAAATGACCAATTTTTTACAAGACATTTGTGGCAATGAGATTGTATCGCTTGATTGTACCGCTTAGCCTGGACTAATTTGAAAGGAAATTTATGAACTACGACTAAACTTATGCAATTAGCACCTGAAGTGAGCTTAATTAGCCTTTACAGGTGATAAAACTGAAATGGAGAGATCATTGATCAGTATAAAGATACCTATTTAACGGTGCAAGTGGCGTGGGTACTACACTTGATAAAATTGTAGATCTCATGAAGAAAATTTCATCCACCCTATCAAATTATCACTGAAAACATCAGGATCCGGTTAAGAAGACAAGTTTTGCGACCAACTCACGGATTCGTCGGAAAGGCAAAATAACCTCAAAATAGTTTTTGATATAATCGAAAAATTTTTATCACATATGAGCATATTGTTGTTGTGTGTACTGATCAATAAAAACCACCATTTCCAACAATACTTTTTTCAAATCATTTTATTTCACTAACATTGCAGGAACGGAAAATTAGTGATGTTACGGGTAATGAAATGAGATACAAAATGGAAAGAGATTCAGGAAAGTCATAGAAAAAGTAGTACCATAACGAAATTAGCCTACATCGGTAAAATGAAAAATTAAATCATTTACATATCGTGTCACTATCGAGATTAAAGATATGAAAGTCTGTATCTATGGTTTTAAATACATAATAGAAGAAACTAAATGCATAAATTAGAATTGTTGGATAGAACTTATTTAGTTTTTTCAATCCTTCAAATGTCAAATACCGTTAGATATATTTACCTGAGGGCAACCTTTCTAACTTCATAGCAATTCATTTTTTTATTTTATAAACCAAGAATGACCTTGCATCTAGTCCAATACCATTTTAACTCTATTCCTGTTGTCGCATATGAACTTAGTAGGGAATCCTAATAAATTCCCATAAAAACATTGAATTTATAATTTATTTTTTCCAATTTTCAAACAGGAAAAAAGTGAAGAGAAGAACTTCATTCTGAAAATACTGAAGTCGATGAATCTAATAAAAAAATCCGAAATCTGATCATGAATTGATCGATCTCTCCTCTTCTACTATTGATTCTTGATTCAGTTCTTGGTTAAGATTATATTCTTTGCTAATTTGTAAAGCCATAGATATTGTATCATTAAATAACACAAATGACCCGTTTCATTCTTTTTTTTTTTTTTGTCAATAATACGGGAAAATCAGTTCAAATAAAAAACCCTTTCATAAGAAATATTCATGATCTTCAGATCCACTTATAAGATTACCTCTGTGCATATATTTCATTCTAAAGTTATCAAACTTTTTATTATAAAAATAGTTATGAAAAATTTAAGAATTGAAATTAAACTTGAAAAAGAAGAAGATAGAGAAGAAAGTTATAAGAAAAAGGAAATATTGCAAGGATAAAGTAAAATGATATGGAAGCAATTTCCTCATTTCTTTTATGAATTTCGAAAAACTGGAACGAAAAAAAAAAGACAACCGTAGAAAGATGTGATAAGAACCCAATTCATTAGTAATGCAAAATTTCCTCCTTTTTCTTTCATTTAGAAATTCAATGAAGGCCATTTGAAAAGTATTAGCAATTCTTAAATTCACCAATTTCATGATAAGCTTCTAAAACTAAAGAAAGTAAGTAAACGAATATATTTGAATCTATATAAGTAGTCATGATAGTTTTTCGATAAGTATTTCATTATAATCAATATTATAGGTTAGAAAAATTAGTGATTAATTAAAGTTAATTCCAAAATGGTTATATTTTAATAAAGTTAAATGCAACATAACTAATTACAAACTTCAATAGTAGAAAGATTTTTGTTGTGAAGAATAAATGAATAACTCATCATTTTCAAATAAATTGATAAATGATCACAGTAAAGAGCTGATTTCTTTGATATCTTTGCTAAAGCATGAGACAAATGATCATATAGTAGGAATATTAGTAGTCCAGGTATGAAATTATGTAAAAGATAAACTGATAAAAGGTAAAAGGTAAAAGTATTTCCACGTAAATGCACTCTCACGATTGAACCATCAGTAGAGAGCATTCTCGAATGATATCAACCAGGTTGTTAAATGATGACTGTCATATTTCAATGAGAGACATCTAGAGCCAGACCTAACAAGTAAAATATGCTGATGAATTGTTTCCATTACAATGAGTTCCTATAAAATTAAACGGTATGCAGAGAGAGAGAGGGAGAGAGGGAAGAAAAAAAGAGAGAAGAGGGAGGGAGAGAGAGAGGACCGAGAAAAGCATTGATGGAGAAAATGTAGAGGTAGTTTTTTGATAGGATGATGTGTACATTTTGGTTGAAGTAGAGTAGAAGCGGACAATAAAGGAGCAAAATTTTAGGAGAAAATGAGGAGCAATGGAAAGGGTGGTGACATTTTTATAAATAAACAAGAAAGAGAGAAGAGGAGGAAAAGGAGGAGGAGGAGAAGGGGAAGGAGAAAAGGAGGTGAGAGGAAGGTAAGATGAAGTTACACAGTAGCAGGGAATTGAGCGGAAAGGTAAGGAAATGAAAGGAAGGGTAGTTCATTAATTTCTTCGTCTTATTTTTAATCCTAAAGTTAGGCATAATTTAGATAAAATATTCAAAGATTCAGTAGCAACAACAACTTTCCTTAAATATTCTTAAAGAATATCACATAGTTGACAAGTCAACAATGTCACCAAATACATTCTCAATCGTCAAGAAATAATCAACAATCAGTTAAATTTTAATACTTAATTCTTGCACTTCCAAATTCGTTTTTCATTACGATTCAATTTATAAGATTTAAGAATTAATTACAAATGAAGTAAATGAATTAAATAATACTAATCTGAATGAGTTTTCTTTTGCATCATCAAGTCTAGACTAGGGAAAGGTCAGACCTATTAAAGTGTCTCTTTTTCATCCTTTTCAAAAGCTGATATTAAAAAGAGAGAGGGATAGCAAGAACAGAGAGAGAGAGAGAGAGAAAGAGAAAGGGAGAGAAAGAGAGAGAGAGAGAGACAGAGGGCCTA